AAAAATACAGTTGTTTGGACAGATGCATGTCTACAGTAATTTACCTTCACTGTGGAAGATTTGTTAAAAGCCTGCCCCAGGTAAATGAAATCCGTAGTGTATATAATGTGCAGCCAGACAGTGAGTTGGCAGTAATTAATAACCATAGTTGTCTTCCTTGCATTCCTAAAGAGTCTGCTTACTCCTCATCCAGTAAGATCAATGGTTGTCTTGGTTTAGGAATAGAATTTTAAAGGAGATGCTTATTCTAGTTGAAAAATTTTTACTTTATACAAAGAATGACCTACATGTATATCAGCACTAAGGTTTTCTGATGGTCTATATCAATACAGCTGTATATGTATGTGAATGTGCTTTATATCTCTGTTATGTATATTTTGACAGCTGAATCGAAGTGACAGTGACAGCTCAACACTAGCCAAAAAGTCTCTCTTTGTGAGAAATGCCACAGAACGGCGGAGCCTAAGAGTTAAACGGGTATGTGTTACGTTACCTGGACATGGTTTAAAACAAAGTATGGGGAGAGAAGGAATAACACGTCTTGAAATTAAAGCGTATTGTTTATTTCAGCAAAAGTGATGCAAGCAGTACATGTTGTCGTGTAGTTCCTGGTTGAAATCTCACCACAGTTGTCTCAGTGCTATGTCTTCCCCCATGAACCAAGCTGATGTTCTAACTGTGGCTGAAGCCAGCAGCCAGACACTGGTGCTCAGCATCATGGCATTTACTGGTGAACTTTAGCTTGTTGCTGTCAGAGGAATGTGGTTTAAGGAACCCAGCTACTCCAAAGTGACCCAAGGTGGCTTATGCTACCAAAAGTCAACACCAGAAAAATGTGCCTTGAGCAAATTTTGGACAAAGTTTCAAGGATTCAGGTGCCCTTTTAAAGAGGATTTACTCTTCTTCAAGACTGAGTAGCAAAATGATTGAAGGACAAGAGAGCAAGGTTGTATTTCTCTTGCATGGAGTTCTTTCTTGCATAAGTTGAGACCTCTATTTTAATCTTGATGGTAACTTTAAAAACACTTCAGAGAAGGATTTTACCAGGTAGCAGGATTACATTTGGCATAAAGAAAGAAATACTGAATAGTCTGGGATGGCTCCTCATGCGAAAAGTCACTGTCGAAGGATAGTAAGTAATGTGAAATATGCTAAAGAAATGCATTTTCACAATGTTTGTAACAGTATGTGTTTGCTTAAGCACTGAAAAAGGAAATGCTTATAAAAATAAATAGAGAGGTTGAAATCTCTGGGGAAGTCTGCACAGTGCTGTCCTGGGGAGCAGAATGGGTTTTTTGGTTTTAACTTGTAAATATATTGTTGTACATCTGGTTGGAGAAACTTTTGGATTCATTTTTTAGCTAGTGCCTGAAGAAAAACTGCAGAATAGATGAATTTTTGGACTTGGATCTCATCATAGCAGCTTTCTGCTAAAGAAAAACAAAAATATTTGAGCTTTTCTGACTGTATCATGTCAAAGCCTACATCAGCCTCTCTAGATAATAACTTTTATTGTTCTGTCTCCCAGATGATTCAGCCTGTTTGCCAACCAATCATGCGAAGAGCTACACAAGAGTGCCCTGTACGCACTTCCCTTGACTTGGAGCTGGACCTCCAGGCATCACGCACAAGGCAGAATCGACTGAATGATGAGCTTCAGGCCTTGCGGGATCTTAAACAAAAGCTTGAGGAAATGAAAGGCAGAGGAGAGACAGATCTTCCCCTGTGTGTGCTAGAGGATGAACGATTCCAGAAACTCTTGAAACAGGCTGAAAAACAGGTATGAGCAGCATACAGATACTGTGTGAGTGAATGCACGTAGGCCCCTGCCTTTTCTGTAGATTTGTTAAAGAATTTGGCTTATAGTGTTAAAGATTTTTTACAGAAGCTCACAATTGACTAAATACACTTCTGGATTGCATAGTGTAACCTATTTCTTTATTGGTCAATACTACAGTATTTATACCTAGAATCTGACATACTAGTTTTCTAGTACTATGTAAATACTTTGGCAATGCAGAGTAGAAACCCTATTATTTGTAGTAATAGCAGTGGTGTAGTAAACCAGTGTTTACTTAAAAGTTAATTTAAAATTCTCATGTGCCAGCCGTACTTCTGCAGACACACATGTGGTTTTTGTCCTTCAGAATCAGGTGATTTGCAGCCTGCACAGAAATTTGAGAGAGGCAGTGACTATTAGTTATAGTGGTAGGGGTATCTGGGAAAGGCAGTACTTCCACTATGGCTTATTTCCTTATGCAGGACATACTTGTTCTATTTTTGGCAGAGGAAAGCCAAATTCTATTCCCTATGTGATGGTTTCTAAAACAATACAAGTATATATGCACTTTCTCTAAACTCTGTAAGGTAGTTGGATGCCCTTATGGGTAAAAGACAACAAACAAGATAGAACAAGTGAAAGGCAACAGTGACAAGTTGGAACACGGAAAATTCCAACAAGATGTATTAAAAAGTGGGAAGGTTGTTTGTTGGTTTAAAATTGCGAAGGTGATCATACACTGGAATATGGGCCTAGTAGGAGAGGAAAAAAAGGTTGGACAAAACAAAGCATTGGTTTATGATGTAAATATATGTTATGCCTGTAACTTAAACATTGTTCAGTTCTGGATAATAAGTTCAAACTGGATAAGAAGGCTACAGGGGGTTGCCAAGAATGGTCAGAGGAGGAAACAGCTTCTCTGTTAGGAGTGGCTAAGTAGCTACAACTGAAGTCTATAAAATAATGGGTGAGGTGGAGGAAAGCACTTAATCACTGTCCTTTATAATACAGGAAGTAGGGAATTGAAGAGGTTGCAGATTAAAGGAAAGCAATCATAGCACAACATTTAGAAACTGTAAAAATGTTTTCCATGGAACATTGAGTGCTGCAAGTCTGTAGAGGTTCGAAAAGCAGTTTGATAAATTCATGGAGGAAATATCCATCAGAGGTCATTAACCATAATGATATCACCTACTTCAAGAAGTCTGACTGTCTGATAGTTTAGGAAACAGATTTTTTCCCAATATGTTCTCCCAGCTCTATGCTTATGCCCTGTTCTGTTCTCTCTGTCTTCTTGTCTCTCTTTCCTTGGCATCTGCTGTTGGCTATACCTAGTGGAGTTCTAAAATGGCTGTAAAGTACTAGCAGAGTTTAGGTTAAGCATTAAGAGAGAAACACGTGGGCAAAAGTGGGATAAGGCAGTGCAACATTTAAACATCACACAATATTAATCTGGGTTTTGACAGTGTGAATTCATTATATTAATTTGATCTTTCTAAGTTGCAGCCCATAAAAATAGTAGTAGCTTTATATAAAAGGATGGTTAAATTTTAGAAATTCATTGTTCATATCTAATGCTGGGTGCAGGATAGAAATGGTAATTTCTAATTGCTTATTTAAAACCGTTCCCACTCTAGAGCTATTCCCCCTAGAACAGAGTATGCCTCTGCAACATTTAATATTATAAATCCTTTGGATTTGTGCTTTCTTATTTCAGCTGGCTCTTTCGAGGCAGCAGATAGGTTTCTCATATTTTAGAGCTCTGATGTCAGTGATCAGCACCATGACACACACTGCGATAAGGAATAAGGGTAATAATGTATGTTCCTAAAATATATGTAGGCTGCAGCATAGCATTCAAGTCCTTCTTACAAGTCAGAACAAGGAACACAGCCATTCCGCCGCTTTGAAGAGCACTTGCAAAGTTTCTGGAAATATTTCTACCATTAAAATTGTTGCAGCTTTCCCCTGTGGAGCAAAACAACCCTGAGAATACTGTACTCTGCTGTCAGTTTCCTCTTGGGTTAGTGAAACACAGCAGCCTAGAGAACATTGTCATAGATTATTTTTTAGATCCTGCAGGTATTATAATGGTGCAGACTAATGCAGCAGCTGGAAGTGCCAGAGAAATTGAGTCTCAAGTGAAAAATGAAACCGCAGATGTAGGGGACGTTGAAAATCAGTGGCTGCCTGCTAGCATGTAGTTACTCTGCTGGAAGCCAAATACACAGACTCCATACCTTCCTACCACACTTTCCTAAGTACAAGTATGTAAAGCTCACCAGTACCTGCAGATCAGAAAACAGTAGGTAATTCTATGCACCAGAAACATTTTCTCTTGTTTAGATTGCATTTTTGTGAGAAATCAGAGAGTATTTCAAAGTTTGAGTCTTAAATCCTCATACAGGTAAGTTTTCAGACACCTAGTGTCCTGTGAAGGACTTCCTCTTTGTGTATGCCCAAAATAGATTCCTGTAACTATCTGTAAATGTCTTCATTTCTTTTCAGTACATCTTCTGCATAGAGGTGGTCTACAATTAAGTCATTAATACCACAGATATGTTCTTGTTCCAGTGTTTTGGCGTTCAGCACAGTTAGCAGTTTTTCTTTAGATCCACTTTCTTCTATACAAAAACCATTGAAGAACAAGACGGGAATTAGCATTTCACTTTATTTCACCTAAGTAATTGTGATAGTGGTTCTTCTTTGTTATCCCAGTCTTAGGAATCTCTGCATCTGCACTTAGCTTATCTGGCGCTTATTTTTGGCACTTGTTAAATGTATGGCAAATGTATTAGTCTGCTTTTCTGTGTTTCATAGAGATGGAGGATTCACTGTCTTTATAAATCACCCAAGAAAGATGCTGTAAATGTAAAACTGATCATGTACATACCTTCATATATGCATGCTCTTGGAGACACTGAGCTGAAATCAAAGTTTCCTGAGAACATCCTGAAAAAATAAAAGGATAAAAAGAAAAAACATGGTTACAGAGTATGAAAACAAGAGAAGTCATCTGTGCTGAAATGCAGTAGTCACAAGATTCTCATGTATAGTTAGGGAAAATATAAAAGATTTTCAAATATTGTATGTTTAGTGCTTTGATGATAAATATTAACTAGGGGAGCTGATAAAACATATGGCCACTGACATATGTAAAATTAAGACAGTAACAGTTGTCATTGCAAATTTATGTTCACTACAAGGAAAACAATATAGGTTAACTTCATTTTAAAATCATACATATTTTGGAACCAGGGGCTGAAGAAGTTAACAGCAGTACAAACTGGAGTTTAAGTGAGTTTTTGAAAGGGTGGTGCTCTTTCATGTAAAACCCTTTCATATAGAACACTGGAGTGCGTTTCAACAGACAGAGGATACCACTGTCCTGCTGTGAATGGATTTCTATAGCCGCCCAGTATGGAACTGATAGTATGGACTAACTTTTTTGAATTAGTTGGTTTTGTTGTTTGGGAGTCTACTGGGTTGAATTCAGAACTAGAGACATGAACTCCTAAGTTAAAAACCAACTTTGAAGATCACTGGTTTTGGCTCGGGTGTGTGTTTTAATTTGAGGTAACAGAACAGCATTTTCAAGTCTGAGTGCCTGAAGTTAAGCATAAAAAAATAACCTCTAAAGAACTTTTAAAATTGTTTAGAACATGAACTGCTTCTATTAAACTCTGATGGCTGGCAAAATTAAAAATACAGTACATGACTTCAGGGACTGTCAGACAAATGTCTAGAAATGAAGCTAAGTGTGCACACAAGGTGGCATTGCCCATGCCATACACCCTACACACTGTGGGGGTGACATTGCAGGTGTTCTGGGACTCACCTGCATATGAACAGTGACCATTTATGTAATAAATCCAGGTGACTGTCCACCTGAAAAGAGCTGTAGTTCAAATTATCGGGCATTCAGAAACACTTGATAAAGCCTTTTAACAAACAAAACACAGCTCTTGATAACAGTGTCCTTCCAAAACAGTGGATGGTACAGCTGTGATTGTCCTGTTGATGCAGCAGTGCTTGGTAGAGATGTATAATAGCACCAGCCTTACTGAGGTGCAGAAATCCTGTGGTTTACTGGTAGCGATGTATCTGCTCAACAATGCTCATGTCAAGAAAGATCCTTTATCTGTTGTCATCGATGGTGTTCAGTTCACTTGCCTTGGCTTTACAACCTCTCCAGTGCAAATGAAAGAAGTGTCCCATACAAAAGTGTTGTGTCATGAATAAAAGCACAAAAGTTTATGAATATTAACTTTGCTAGCAAGGTCAGTAAAACTTAAATTTTGTTTTGAGAGCACACCTTCTCTGGTTTTTGTCTGTAATTTTAGAGTAGGTGTAGGTAACTTTCCTAAGAGCTTTCATTATGAAATAAAAGTTCATTACATGGGGAAAGAATGACAGTCTCCCAGTTATAAAGATACTTGGATAGACAACATCTGTTCATACGAATTTAGGTATTGTCTAACTGTGGCCCTAAGAGAAATCTCATCAAAATCTACAATACCCTAGTAGCCACCTGTGATGACGTGGGATTTGCTCTATTTATTTGAATTTTTCTCTCTTCTTTTTTTTTTTTTTTTCCTAAGGAGAAGCTCTGTTATTTTGTGCCCATGGCTTACTTTGCGATGTCAGCCTTTCTTTCTGACCCTTTGTATAGAGATTTTCATAGAATCATTTAGGTTGGAAAAGACCTTTAAGATTAAATCCGAATGTAAACCTAACCCTGCCAAGTGTTTTGCTTGATGAAGAAGAATTTGTCATTTCCTTGAAATGAGTAGTTGTTCATTATTAGCAAAATAGTTATTTTTCCTGTTTACAGGCTGAACAGTCAAAAGAAGAACAGAAACAAGGTTTAAGTGCTGAGAAATTGATGAGAAAAGCCTCTAAGGATGTATGCCGGTTACGGGAGCAGAGCCAGAAAGTGCCACTGCAGGTGCAGTCATTCAGGTAGGGCCTGTTCTGCTTTTCACTCTCTTTTTAATGTAGTGAAGTAATACAAATTATTTCTAAGCTTAAAGAGACATGCCTTGTAATGTTGGTCAGAAATCTACACACCTCTGAATTGCAAGAAACATTATAAGTTTTTAAAATAGCTCTGAGTTGGAGTTTCAGAGGACTGGGCCTTGGTAACTTACTTATGTGGCAGCAGTGGCAGTATTTAGCTGAGCTGTGGTGGCGAGGAAACGGAGTGAAAAGTTTCAGACCTCTGTGGGCAAGCATGTGTGTGGCCATTGCCACAGCTCACCTCACCTACAGCAGATTCACAGTGGGCTCGAAGTCATGGGATCTTTCCCGATGATGGCAGGCGCCTGAAGCAAATCACCCTGCAGGGAGAAGTAGAACAGTGTACATCTTACGATTAACCCCTACTTGTGCTTTGCTCAAGACTTAGTATTCAAGAAAGATCTTGAGTTCCTCCTCCTTTGTGTTTCTCTCCTCCTTTTGGTTGTGGGAACAGCAGCCAATTACGTGAAGCAATATCAAGTTTTCTTGCTTAGCGTAAGCCACAATGAACACTTTCTATCTCAAACCTTAATTCTAACTTGTCTAAATTCCCAAAGGGCTGGCCAGTAAGTGGCAGGCTACCAGCGCAGAGGCCACACTTCCATATAAAAATTTGAAAAATCCAATGCTTACTCTTCCACACAGGAAGAGTGTGGAATTTACTCTATTTGTCACTAAGTGATGTTCTTAAAGCTTGGCCTCTGGGTCCTGTATAGGGAACTTAGGTCAGCTACTAATAGCTGTGAGGATTTTTTTTTTTTCCCTTTTTAACCCAGTCTATCATGAACAGCTTGAGAAATCCATAAGCAGATAGGGGCCTGTGAGGCCTGTATTTCAAACCACAATTGTAAATGATGCAGAATCAAAGCAAGAAAGGAAAGGGGTTTCTTAGCAAAGAAGTGTTACAGCTCAGGTATTTATCCTCAGTATGAAATTCGAGACATCTTCAAACAGTTTTCACTTTCAATGTAAGTTTGACAAAGAGTTTAAGTCAGTGCTGGCCATTTAACAGTCATCACAAACAGACTGCTGCCCAAGTTTACAGGAATATGTAATAGAGCTCAAGACGTCGTTCCCCTGCAAGAGGGGTATCATAAGACACTATTCTCCTTTATCTTCTGATAAGCACACAACTAGCTGAGCAGTCCATTTTACATAGTTGATTATGCTCTGAGTTCCCGTTTCTGATGGGAATTTAAGCATCACCAGTGGAAAGCATGGTTTAGTCTACTGGGCAAGTAGCTACCTCCTAAGGCTGAATTGTACAGGCCCCACTAGTTGGATTTGTTACACTGCTGTGGCCTCACAGCATAACCATGCAGAGGCATTTTTGAAGCTCTCAAGAAGAATAACTTTTCTGAGCTTTAACTTTTAAGCCGCAAATACTTACCTGTTTTGTAGGCTGCTGGCAGACAGGCTTTTGTAAACCTGTTATGCCTCAGTAATCTCTCAGTTCATAGGAGGCAGAAATGGTAACAGCACAGGGAAGCAACTAGAGAAGGGGTTGACAATTCTGCTTCTGAGGATTGCCCAGATCCAGTTATTTTATTATCAACACCCCCATCCCCCCCACCCCCCTTTCCCAAGTCAGGATAAAATGTTTTATTTTGCCTTTTTGTCCACCCACTACAATATCATCATAGGAAATCAGTGATTAGATCAGTATTTGAGCCTGACCACTGCAGTTACTAATGAAATATTGCTTTTTACATAAATCTGCCTAAGAAGAGAATTATGTCAGAATGCCACATTTGCTGTAAATAAATCCACTCTCTATTTTCCTCACTGTATATTTTCCAAACCTATATTTTAAAGAACGATGCTGTAGCATTAGCAACTCTACAGCAGATGACATTGGAGTCATGCCATAAATAGTAAAATAATAACTTGTTTTCCTTTCTAATTTCAGGGAGAAGATAGCATACTTCACAAGAGCAAAGATCAGTATACCAGCCCTTCCAGCTGATGATGTATAATTATGCATTTTCATTGAAGTGTTTTTCCACTCGCTCATCTTTCAGATGAACTTAGTAGTTCCAGTGACCTGCTTTGAAAGATCTTCTATTTTACATTCACTATTGATGCATTTATTTGTAAGATACAGTGAATTGAATTGTATGCTTAAAAAATGGCAACCCCTCCCCACCCCCCGCGAACAACTGGAAAAACCAAAGTAGATTAATTTTGGTATACTGATGCTGATTTTGTACAGTTTGTATGTATTGCATGTGTTTTTATTTTGTAAAGATGGAACAAAGGAACAAAGGCAGTACTAAGCATGTATCCTGTTGAACTGCACTGTGTTGAGAAATATTACGTTCAACAGAAGATTGTTTATCTTTTCACTATTTTCATGTGAGCAGACTGTGAAGATGGCTGATTTGCCATGCAATATTTTTGTACAAGAGTGTGACTTTTATAGTTTAAAGTTAACCACAAGCGTAAACTCCTTTCAAAAACATCAAGGCTGCCTCACAACAGCTGCTAATTAAATTCATCACTTGCATTGGAATTTTGTTTCTGAAAACAGTTTTTTGTGTTTTAATGTTTTGTAGGAAGAGACAAAGTTCAGTTTAGTTTTGTGAATGTACAGTACATTAACCTGCACTAAAAGGTTTCTTGCATCTGCGGGAGAGTGAGAAAGGCAAGGCAGACAAGTAACCCTAAAATCTTACTATGAGACTACCAAAAGGGGCAGCTGCTTTCTGTACTGGAAGCTAAATCAAAGTCATTATACCAACATTGGAATTAGAATAGTCATATTCACTGCACACTTAAAAATGAGAGTTCCTCTATCTTAATCTTTCGTCCTAGAGGCTTTCTTACTGCCAACTAGGAATAACTTAAAGTGTTTGTTAGGTTCACAAATATGAAGATGTTTCATTAAAGTATTTGTACCAGCAGAAAAACCTGTCACGTACTAACTTGGACATCAGAACTCTTGTTGGTAAGGTAAACCCTTCCTGAAAAGGAAAAGCTCCTCACTAGAAGTGTTCACGTGTTTCGGTACAATAAATAACATTTTATAGATACACATTCACCCTGTATGCAGTTGAGGTGCACGGGGTTTAATAAACAGATGTTGCAAGTTCATCTTACATGAAGCAGCCTGCTAGGAAGAAGCATCGACTTGGATGCATTCTGTTAGAAGCACAGAACTTTGTATGTAGGCATTCAAAAAGCCCCGTCTTGGTAAAGCAGTTGGGGTCTTATTTTCTGTGGGTACTGTGTGAGGGGGTGGACACTGCAGAAAAAAGGAGTTCATTTTCTGCTTAAACTGTTTCATTGGGATGTGTTGAATTCACTGGGTAAAGTTTTCTTCCCCAACAAGCCACAGACTTCATCTTTCAAAAAGGCTGTAATTACTTGGTAAGAAAATGGGAGCAAATGCGACCGCAACATGGTAGCAGCTGCCTTAAATTCAAAGTGACAATTCTGTGACAAGAGGTCTGTGCAATAACCAAGGGTTTTCTTACGCACAGATAACATCAGATCCCTTAAATGTACAGCCAAACATGCCATTTGGGGCAAGAGAGCTGACTGAACATCCTTTGTGAATGCCCCACTTGGTTTTTGTTTCTTGGGTTTGAGATAACATTAACGTTTGAAAGGTCAGTTTAAAGAAAACAAACAAATCTGGAATTATTTAATGTAGAGGTGAAATGAAGGTTGACAGTTTCAACTTCTCCATTTGATTATATGAGTTGTTTGTAGAATGATGTTTAGATGTGTACTTTATGATTTTTCTTTTATTTATTTACACTCTTATTTATGTTCTGTTTAATATAGTTCAGTTCTGGCCATAAAAATATTTGACATTAAGGATATTGTAAAAAATATTTAGAACTGTCAGAGCTGTCTCGAGCTGCCAGATGAGCTGTTTCTCCTCACGTGTTGGAATAATAGTAAAAAAAAAAAAAGTATTATCATCTGATTTGTAAGCATGAAACGAGGTCAAAATTTAAGGAGTGCTGGCTTTAGCTTGCAAAACGCATTTTAAAATGAGAGACTTCTACAAATTCATGCTCCTTGTTTTCCAGATTGGTAAAGTTGAACATGTTTATAGGCAGCTTTTAGTATTTCTAGAGTTCTGGTGGGTTTTTTTAACTAATTTGGATTATTCACACTTGAAACACTCAATAGAATAAGCTAAAATAATCCATACAGGTAAAGCTCCATCAGTTTAAAATTACAAATATTACTCTTGAAGTGAAATTTATTCTGCACAGCAGGGTATAACGAATGTAATTACTTCTATTTCCAGGTACCAATGTCACTACAGTTGCATATATCAAAATCTAAATATCACTGGTACAAGGATATTTAGCCAAATAAGCAAAGTTTAGCAGAAAATGTAATAGAACACAAATCAAATAATTAAGTGGGGGTTTTTTTACTATTGCTATGTTTATACTGTATTAAATATCAAATGCTCAGGACTGAACTAAGTATTTAATCAGGTTATATTCTGAATGTGTTTCTGTTCTAATTTTGTCTGTAAGAGTACGCAAGTACATCACACAGATTAACTTGTCTCTGCACTTTCCATGTGTTTCAGTGATTGGAAAATACATTTTTTTTTAACAAAGTTCCAGACCACTGTTTTATTTAATTCTTTTATTCCTGTTCTATGATTCTCTCTGCTTTTTTGTACAAACAGATGGCTGCTGCAGCTTTGTCAATGTAAAAATCATTGCAATTTATAGAAAGTTGACATCAATCAATGCCAAGTCTTAGGGTAAGTTAAACCAATTCATATGTTTGAAGCTAGCTCTTTACATTCATTAAGTAAAAACTGCAGTAGCAATGGACAAAGTCAACTCTCCACTGGATATCTCCTCATTATTATTGGGGAATACTGGATTTCCTTGGGGAGAGATTGTGCATGGATCGATTCAGTCGTTCTCTCTCTCTGGAGTATAGTATATTACATGACATTATGCCTGAGAACATTTAGTTTATTGTGATGGATACAGGTCCAGGGAACTTCATCCAGGGTTGTCCTGTATCAGGTTTTTGTAATGCATGTTGAACTGACACTACAAACTTTCAGGACTTAAACTACTACTATGTTTTGTACAAAACACATTGTTTAAAGGGGCCCCAGTAGGAATTCTGCTATTTAAAATACAGTCAAGTCTCCATGCATGCCTAGAGATTAAGAATTTTATACCTATTTATCCAAAACACGAAGCAAGCAAGCAAAACCCATACAAAACCGAAACGTGCAATTGATCAAATTTTGAGGAAACAGAGTGGTGACTTAGATCTCCATAGCTCATCAATTAGTGTAATTAAAATTGAAGTTAAGTAGTGATTA